CAGATACAGAAATTGTAACCATATTATATAACAAGCTCAGCCCAAGAGTTTACCACTATCACTTTAACATTTATTAAATGAAGAAAGTAGTTTTGCTGCCCTCTTGAGAGCTCCAAGAGGCCCCCAGGACTGTAGGTATCCTTTAGAAAACAGACACTCTTCTGCTCACTATAAGTTGCAAAACACAGTCCAAATATGGGAATTAGCATCTCCAGTATTTGTGGTAAGAATTATAATCTAAAGTTAATTTAGAATGAAACCTTCTTCACTCCTACAGTTAGAGCCAACTTCAGGTCAGCCTCCCCACACCTGGAAGACAGGATGTGATGAGTTTCTTTTCTCTGTTTTTTTCTCCCTCATAGCTTCTTGCCCCTTGAGTGTTGAGGCACGCACAAGGATAGACGAAAGGAAAGGGGCACAGAGAATTCTTATGTGACTGATACCACTCTGGGATGACAGCATCCTCTCTAGGCTTGCAAGTGTTTAAAGTGGATTCTCTCGCAGGTGTATTTTTAGGTTCTTAGGCTTGTGTTTACTCAACTGCCTGTGCTGTGATGAAATCGTTTTCCTCAGTGGCCATTGCTTCTTCTGTAGATTCTCTCAGTCCACTCACACAGACCATCTCTTGGGGCTGAGGGAGAACCTCCTTTACCTTTGACAGAATCTCTCCCAGGCCGGAGCACTTTTTTTCTTTTTTGAGGCAGAGCCTGGCTCTGTCACACACACTGGAGTGCAGTGGTGTGATCTTGGCTCACTGCAACCTCGGCTTCCTGGGTTCAAGCAATCCACCTTCCTCAGCCTCCTGAGTAGCTGGGATTACAAGCGTGAACCAACATGCCCAGCTAATTTTTGCATTTTTAGTAGAGATGAGGTTTCACCAGGTTTGCCAGGCTGGTCTCGAAATCCTGACCTCAAGGAATCTGCTGGGATTACATTCATGAAACACTGTCACCGGTCACCGGAGCACTTTTTAAATGACCCTTGGCTGATAATCCTCCCAAGGGCTCCACACCTCATCCCTGGTGGTCATGTACCTTTGGCTCCTGTCAGAGGGGAATGTTGTTACTTCTCAAAGCGGAAGCATCTCTCTTGCATCTCTGCTCTACCTCCTCAGCCAGTTGCTGTAGGTTCTCATCTTTCAATTCCTCAGGCCTATCAAATACCAAGCCACCATCTAGTGTTGTTATGAAGGAACCCGAGGCTGGGTAAAGAAAAGGAATTTATTTGGCTCACAGTTCTACTGGCTAGAACATTGGGCATCTGGCAAAAGCCTCAGGCCACTTCCACTCAGGGCAGAAGGTGAAGGGGAGCTGGCATTGTAGAGATCACATAGAGAGAGAAGGAAGAGAGAGGGCAGGGTGAGGAGGGAGCAGGGTGTGGTGCCAGGTTCATTTTAACAACCGGCTCTTATTGGAAAGAATACAGTGAGGACTCGCTTATTACCATGAGGATGACACCAAGACATTCATGAGGTATCCTCCCCATGACCAAAACATCTCACATTAGGCCCCATCTCTAACATTGAGTATAAAATTTCAGTACGAGGTTTGGGAGATACAAATAACCAAACTGTAGCGATATTCATAGCAACATTATTCATGACAGCCAAGAACTGGAAAAAATCCAAATCCATCAGTTGATGAATAGATAAACAAGAATGGTAAATCCATACTGAATACTACTCAGCAATAAACAGGAGTGAATGACTGATACAGCCAATAACAAGGATAAACCTCAAATTATTATGCTAAGGTTGGACGTGGTGGCTCACGCATGTAATCCCAGCAGTTTAGGAGGCCGAGTGGGGTTAGGAGTTCTAGACTAGCCTGACCAAAATGGTGAAACCCCATCTTTACTAAAAATGCAAAAAATTAGCCGGATGTTGTGGCACATGCCTGTAATCCCAGCTACTTCAGAAGCTGAGGCAGGAGAATCGCTTGAACCTGGGAGGTGGACGTTGCAGTGAGCCGCCATTGCAGCATTGTACTCCAGCCTGGGCAACAAGAGTGAAACTCTATCTCAAATAAAAATTCCCAACAGAATTGGAAAAAAGTGTTGCAATCTACCCATCTGACAAAGGACTAATATCCAGAATCTACAAATAACTTGAACAAATTTACAAGAAAAAAACCAAACAACCCCATAAAAAAGTGGGCAAAGGATATGAATAAACACTTCTCTAAGGAAGACATTTATGCAGCCAACAAACATATGAAAAAAAGCTCATCATCACTGGTCATTAGAGAAATGCAAATCAAAACAACAATGAGATGCCATCTCATGCCAGTTAGAACGGCATGAGACAACAGATGCTGGACAGGATGTGGAGAGATAGGAACACTTTTACGCTGTTGGTGCAACCATTGTGGAAGACAGTGTGGCAATTCCTCCAGGATCTAGAACTAGAAACACCATTTGACCCAGCAATCCCATTACTGGGTATATACCCAAAGGATTATAAATCATTCTATTATAAAGACACAGGCACACATATGTTTATTGCGGCATTGTTCACAATAGCAAAGACTTAGCACCAACCCAAATGCCCATCAGTGATAGAATGGATAAAGAAAATGTGGCACATATACACCATGGAATACTATGCAGCCATAATAAAGGATGAGTCCATGTCCCTGCAAGGGGCATGGATGAATCTGGAAACCATCCTTCTCAGCAAACTGATATAAGAACAGAAAACCAAACACTGCATGTTCTCACTCGTAAGTGGGTGTTGAACAATGAGAACACATGGACACAGGGAAAGGAACATCACGCACCAGGGCCTATTGGTGGGTGAGGGGGCTAGGGGAGGAATAGCAGGGGGATGGGAGGCTAGGGGAGGGATAGCATTAGGAGAAATACCTAATGTAGATGACAGGGTGATGGATGCAGCAATCCACCATGGCATGTGTATACCTATGTAAGAAACCTGCATGTTCTGTACAGGTACCCCAGTGTGGGGTACCAGCCCCAACCCTGTACATGGGTGCTCTTAGTCCCTGTGGTGACGAGGGATTAAGAAAAGGAAATGAAGACAGAGACACAAGAGTAGAAGTTACAGCATGGGTCCAGGGAACCAACCCCTGGGAACCTTGTTGGCCCGAGCTCTGGTCTCCAAACACTTTTATTATGTGCGTAATCTCATTGATATTATGGGCCTGGAGGGGAGGGTAAAGGAGTAGGTAAGATAGCTGGGTGGAGAGCACTTGAGATCTTTCTAAGACATGCTAAACTAGAGCTCTGAGCATTTAACAGCACTTGAGATCTTTCTAAGACTTGCTAAACTGGCACTCCGAGTTTATCACTAATTGTTATCAGGTTGCAGCTGCATCAGAAGTATAGTGGATGAGAAGCCACGGGGTCTGACCACACCCAGTGCATCCAGGGGCTTTTATCTCCGGAGCACTGAGGACACAGAGCAATTAAAATCACTCCATATTCCCAGAATCTAGGCAGACCCTGAGGCGTTCCGTGATCTCTGCCCTGCAAGGCTTTTCTCCTCCTTGCCAGCTCCCATCTGCAAAGACTCTCCCGGATCTTGTGAGCAGAGGTGTCCTTCCTCCTCAGAGATCTTTGCACAAGCCCTCTTTATGAGTCCCTCACGTGGTCTCCATGTTGAAAAGGCGTTCGTGGGAACAGAGCAGTATTGCCTGCTCTGCAACCACCCCACAGTGTTCCCCAGTGTTACTGTGCTTTCAAAGGGTCTTTACCTTAGGCCTCTATGGCCGCCTGATTTCTAATTAACTGAACTAATAATATAGTTTAGTTTGGTGTATAAACTTCAGTGTACTCTGAGCCAAGCAAGCTTGTAATTACTTAGATCGAATTAACATAAGTCTCCCCTTGGCCATCTTGATCCACACCCCAGAACTTAAAGTATAATAAAAAAAGAAAAAAATTATTATGCTAAATGAGAGAAGCCAGACAAATCAGTATATATTGTACGATTGCACTTATATGAAATTTCTTGAAAAAGCAAAACTGTAGTGATGAAAAAAAATCAGTGTGTGCTGGCTGGGCGCAGTGGTTCACGCCTGTAATCCCAGCACTTTGGGAGGTGAAGGCAGGCGGATCACCTGAGGTCAGGATTTCGAGACCAGCCTGGCCAACATGGAGAAACCCCATCTTTACTAAAAATGCAAAATTAGGCGGGCATGGTGGCAGGCGCCTGTAATCTCAGCTACTCAGGAGGTTTAGGCAGAAGAATCGACTGAACCTGGGAGGTGGAGGTTGTGGTGAGCCAAGATTGCACGTCTGCACTCCAGGCTGGGCAACAAGAGCGAAACTCCATCCCAGAAAAAAAAAAAAAAAGAAAGAAAAAGAAGAAATAGAAAATCAGGCCGGGCGCGGTGGCTCAAGCCTGTAATCCCAGCACTTTGGGAGGCCGAGGCG